GGTCTCCCTGCGGCGGTCGAGCCGGCGCCCCTCTCGTCGTGCACAGCCGCCGAGGCTCGGGGCCTCGTGCCCCCGGGGCTCTCGCTCCGCTCGGGGCGGGGCGGGGCTCGGGGGCGGCAAGAAAGGGGGGGGGGATGACTGACTAGGGGGGGGTTCTCCTCTTCCTCCTCCTCCTCCACCTCCTCCTACCTCCCTTCCTCCGCCTTCTCCTCAACTCCTCTCCTACCTCCTCCTCCCTCCTCTCTCCTCTCCTCCTCCTCCTCCTCCTCCTCCTCCTCCTCCTCCTCCTCCTCAAGGGTCGGGTGATGACTACGGGGGCGGAGGTGGCGGGGGCATGATATTTCCCCAGATGTCATGGCGTTTCTTCTTGTTTCAATAAGTCCCCGGCTCCCCCCGTGGGCCGCGCACATGCCGCCAGCCATGATTTGCGCTCCCCTCTTGGACACCCCCCTCTTGGACACCCCCCTCTTGGCCGCCCCCGAGGGGCGGGGCTCGTCGCTCGTCGGTGGTGTCGCGACTCGGCCAGGCTCGCCCGAGGGGGAGTGAGACGACGCCGGGACGAGGCTAGCATCGGGCGAGGAAACAGCGGGAGCCCCTGAGAACCGGCGGCTCTGAGGGATGCATCGAGCGCCGCGGCCTTTTCAGAGCGAACGGATTTACCTTCGTCCCAGCCCCGTCCTCGGGAAGAGGTATGGTAGGTTCACGTCGTGTTGACTGGCGGCGACCCCGCCGTGGGCGTTGAAGGTTGAACGCCGCTAGTGGCCTGGAATCGGCCTACATGGAATGATCTGGCTATCGACAAGCCGCCGATCGTTCAAGGTTGAACGATCTACGCGTTGTCAGAGACCAACGCCGGGGTCGGCACGACACGAACCTGCCGTACCAATGTCGCTGCCCTTGCCTCGTGTTCCCCGTGGTGGGCTTCTCCCGGGGGCCTTCGTCGCCACGGCCGGGTTCGCCTCGAGGTGCTCGTCAGAACGCACCCGGGAGAGGTCCTGGGAGCAGAGGCAACGGCAAGTTCTTGTTTCCAAAGCTCTGGACGCCCGAAATGGGTACGGAAAGAAAGGGCACAATGCCCAACAGCAGTTCCTGTTCATTTTGAACAGGGCTCGCTGTCCACGCCGCCGCGGCCTGTGTCCATTCGAGACAGAGGGCCGCCTGCCCAAGAGCGGCCGCTGTTCGTTTGGGACAACATTTGCTGTTGAGCATTGTACCCATTTTTTCGGTTCCCATTTGGGGCGTCCAAAAAAGCAGTGGCGGAGCGTCTTGATCTGCCTGTGGGCCGACCAAGGAATGTTCTCGGAGCCTCTTGTGGATTGCGCGGGGTGGCATTCGAACATTTCTGGTTGAGACCGTCAGATTTGTAACAAGCGGGTCTCTTCTGAGAACGACCATGTCGTGGTGGGCCCAGAGGAATGCCGGAACGGTCGGTCCCTGCGCAACCAGCTCAGGCCCGGTGTGCGGGAACGGAGGCAGGCTACAAGATCTGAGTCACGATCCTCGCGCTTGGAGGCGACGATTGTAAGAGCGTCGCGGGTGGTGTACAGTGGGGGTCCATGCCAAGAAACACCTTGCCTGCCTCCAGGGTGCCCTGGGTTTATTGGGTTTCGATGGTTTTGCTGTGGACAGCGTGACGTTACCACACCAGAAATCAATGGACGTCCTGGTGTCTCAGGGTTGGGTTTCTTGTGGAAGCTTTCTTATGTAGACACGCTACAACGGCGATGCATGTAACGGCGATATAGGTTCCGGTCTACTGGGAACGCGTGGCTCGTGCTTTCCCACAATTCGTTGCGTCGTGTTCGTTCGATGCATCTGCAGATTGGACATGTAGGAAAGTGCGGATCGTGATCTCCTACCAGGTGCTTCCCAACACCACCGTCGAGCAGCATCGCCGTCAGCGCGGCCTTGGCTCTTGTGGACTAGCCTCCACTGTCTGGTGTGCACGCCTGCCGACGCGCCTTGGGCGTGTGGTTATGTCGGGCGTGTCCCCCTACAGGGGGGATTGTCGACGGAAAATAAAGAATACCCAACGAATACTCAGCGTATGACTGCGGGCGCGCCGCGCCGCGGGCGGGGCCGGAGGCCACGAGACGGACCGTCTCGCCCGGCGGCACCGAGCGGGCGGCCCCCGTGAAGGCACCGGCCCTCCGCGCGCACAGGGGGAGAGCTCGGGGGCGCCTCGGGAGGGGGCCTCGGGAGGAGGATGATGAGGAGAAGGAGGAGGAGGAGGAGGAGGGGGGGGAGGAGGGGACGGGGAGGAGGAGGAGGAGGAGGAGGAGGAGGAGGAGGAGGAGGAGGAGGAGGAGGAGGAGGAGGAGGGGGAGTGGGGGGAGGAGGGGGAGGAGGAGGAGGCGGAGGCGGAGGAGGAGGAGGAGGAGGAGGAGGAGGAGGAGGATCAGGAGGAGCAGGAAGACTATGATGATGGAGGACTTCGGGGAGGATGAGGTCGGGGGTTGCTCAAGGTGCCCCTCGCCCAAGGTACCACCAGCTTTTCGCGCCTCTTTCGAGCACCTTGGGCACTCTGGGCCTCGTGAGGTGTGTGTCGAATGTGTTGCGAGTGCGGACGCTTCTGGAGGGGCCTTCGGTGAAGAGCTCCTTTTGATAAGATCACGAAACGTGTGAGGGGTGTGCCGAATTTGGTGCGGGTACGCCATGCGGACCTTGCCACTGGGGCCTTCGGTGGAACTCCCTATGGAGCCACGAAGCGTGTGACGGGTGTGTCGAACTGGGCGTGGGTCATTACGCCATACGAAGCGTGTGACGGGTTTGTCGAATTGGGCGTGGGTAATTACGCCATGCGGACGTTGCCGTTTGGATTTTCATTGGAGCTTCCTGTTGTGGCCACGAAACGAAACGTGTGAGGAGTTTGCCGAAATTGCTGCGGTGACGCCATGCGGACCCTGCCACTGGGGCCTTCGGTGGAACTCCCAAACTCCTTCTGGGGCCACGAAACGTGGAAGGGGTGTGCCAACTTGGGCGCTGGTCCGCCATGCGGACGTTGACGCTGGGGCCTCCGGTGGAGCTTCTTATGGGGGCACGAAACGTTTGAGGGGTGTGCTTAAAGCGGACGTTGCCGCTGGGGCCTTCGGCGAAGCTCCCTCTTTGTGGGGCCACGAAACGTGTGAGGGTTGCGCCGAACTGGGTGCGGCTACGCCATGCAGACCCTGCCCCGCTGGGGCATTCGGTGGAGCTCCCCATGGGGCCACGTGGACGAGGAGGGGAAGGAAGGAGGGGAAGAGGCGAAGGAGGGGGGGGCAGGAGCAGGAGCAGGATGAAGAGAGAGAGGAGCAGGAAAGGGAGGAGGAGGAAGAGGGGGAGGAGGGGGAGGAGGAGGAGGAGGAGGAGGAGGAGGAGGAGGAGGAGGAGGAGGAGGAGGAGGAGGCGTGGGAAGGAGGAGGAGGAGGCGTGGGAAGGAGGAGGAGGAGGAGGACGGGGAGCAGAGGGTGGAGGGACACCCCAGACCCAGGAGGCCGCTGCCCGCCCCCCATCCTGCCCGCCGGGCGCGGGGAGCCCACCGCTACAAGCCCCCGGGAGGGCGACGCGGGTGCGCGGGACAGGGCCGTTGCGGACGCGCCCGCCTTCTGGCAGCCAGTGGCAGCGACGACGACGACGACGACGACGACGACGACGACGACGACGAGGACGAGGACGAGGACGACGACGAGGCGACGACGACGACGACGACGACGACGACGACGAGGACGACGACGGCGACGACGACGGCGACGACGACGACGACGAAGACGACGACGACGAGGCGACGACGACGGCGGTGGCGGCAGCGGGCGTGGCTGCCGCCATGGGGAGGAGGAGGGCGACGCGAGGAGGGAGAGGACGAGGAGAGGGGGGTGACTGCCGGGGGGGGGATCGGTTTCATGGCCGGGGCCGTGAAGACTCCCCAGATTTCTTGGCCCCCGCTTTTTTTTTCACTGCGTCCCTCGGTCCCCCCTTCGTCCGCGCGGCCATCATGTGTGAGCCCCCACCTTTGGACGCCCCCCGGTGGACGCCCCCCGAGGAGGGGGAGGACGAGGAGAGGGGCGGGGGGGACTCGAAGGAAAAACAGCATAGACACGCATGTTCGGAGGCCCGCACGGACTCCTTGGACCTGGTGGCGCCTCCGGCGCCGGCCCTGGCGCGTTCCGCGCGCCAGCGATGGGGGCCCAGCGCCGATCTATGAAGTCCGCGCGGGCCTAGGAATGTCTGTATCTGTGTGCAGGTTCCTCTCCTCCAGAGACGCCGTGGGCCCCCCTGGCGGTGCATTTGGTATTTGGTGCCGCCCAGCGCCGATCCAAGAACTCCGCGCGGACCTCCGAAGTCTCATGTTTGCGCCAGCTGTTTCCCCTCTGGGGACGCCAAAGTGGGACCCATCTGCCTGGCGCAGTCGGCATCCCTCGTGAGGCCTCGGGTTGCGCACAGAGTCGTCAGGCCTCAACAGGCCCCCCGAGCAATCCGGTAATCCGGGGGGGGGCGGTCTCAACGCCGCCCGCCTCCGGCGGCGCCCATTGAGCGCTCCGCGCTTCAGGCTTGGGGTATGGAGACCGCCCCCGGGGCTGCTCGGGGGGCCCGTTGAGGTCAGCCTTGGCTCCTCGAGGGGGCCGCCTGCGCCTGCGCGCAGCCCGCAGCCGCACCAGGCCTTCCCGCGTCCTTCCCTAGGGAACCGAAAAGTGGCATAAACATAAAAACTCGGAGGTCCGCGCAGATTTCTCGGATCGGCGCTGGACCCTCCTCCCTGGCGCGCGGAGCGCGCCAGGGGCGGCGCCAGAGGCGCCGCCGGGGGGCCCCAGCGCCGATCCGAGAAATCCGCGCGGACCTCCGAGTTTTTATGTTTATGCCACTGTCTGTTCCCCTATTCCCCTCCCCCCCGCCGAGGCCGAGAACGGCGACGGCGACGACGCCGCCGGCGACGGCGCCGCCGGCGACGGAGTCGCGGGAGACGGCGCTGCCGCTGGCGACGACGCCGCCGGCGACGGCGCGGCTGGCGGCTGCGCAGAGCCCGGAGGCTCGGCGGCCTCCGCCCCGGAGGAGGAGGAAGAGGAGGAAGAGGTGGAGGAGGAGGCTCGAAGTATGAGGAGGAGGAAGAGGAGGAGGGGGAGGAGGGGGAGGAGGAGCAAGAGGAGGAGGAGGAGGAGGAAGAGGAGGAAGAGGAGGCTCGAAGTATGAGGAGGAAGAGGAGGAAGAGGAGGAAGAAGAGGAGGAGGAGGAAGAGGAGGAGGAGGAGGAGGAAGAGGAGGCTCGAAGTATGAGGAGGAAGAGGAGGAAGAGGAGGAAGAAGAGGGGGGAGAAAGAGGAGGAGGAGGAGGAGGAGGAGGAGGACAGAACCCCCACCCTGACGCGTCGATTCGTGAATTGGCCGTTGTCGGTTCTCGAGAGGGCGCCGCGGCCGTCACTTTCCGGGCTTGCGCCCACCAGGTGTGGGCCCGAGGTCGTTCTCACTAAACCACGCTTTGCGAAATGGGGGATATCTGTCCATCCCCAGAAGTAGAACAAGTCTCATAGTCAAGCAGTGGCGAAGCGTCCTGACTCGCCTATAGCCCTACCAAACAATGTTCTAAGAACCTTATGTGGTTCCCACGACATGTTCTATTTCTGGCGGAGTCTGTCTTGTTTGAACACATCGGGTTTATGTTCTAAGAATATTGCTTTTGTTCTTAGAACATTTTTGGGTTTAAGAAAATTGCGTGGTAGGACTATAGGACTGCTGGGACGGTCGGTCCCTGCTCAACATAAACATGCAAACTTTCGGAACTCCGCGCGGACTTCTTGGATCGGCGCTCGTCCCCCCTGGCGGCACCTCCGGCGCCGTGGCGCGCTCCGCTCGCCAGGGAGGGGGCGGTCCAGCGCCGACCCAGGAAGTCAGCGCGGAGTTCCGAGAGCTCGTGTCCATGGCGATCGTCATGTTTCCGGAGGGGAGGCTCGTAGAGAGAAGGGGTACAAGATGAGGGGTCGGGGGTGGATAGACCTCCTAATTACCCTGACACGTCGATAAGCGAATTGGCCGTTTTCGGCTCGCGAGAGGGCGTCGCGGCCGTCATTTTTGCGCGCCCAGGTCCGTCGGCTTCGCTCTTCGGGCGGTGTCACTAAAAGAAGGTTTACTAAAGGGGGGTTTGTCCACCGCCGAAGGGGGCTTCCCCGTGCCTTTGCCTATCCCTGCTTCTCCCTCCCCTCACCTTCCCCCGCCTCCCTCGGCTCAGCGACCCGGGGCAAAGTCTGGGGCCCTCTTTCAGCCACATTCCTATTTCTCGAGCGTGTAGGATGGCGATTGGCTTCTGCACACTCCATCGTGACTGACCTGGGCACGGTGGTCAACATGCTTGTAACGCCGCCCGTGGGAGTCAAGGAGATGTAAATCGAAGGCATCGGCAAGTGGCAGATAAAGAGGGTTCCCTCCCACATACCAGTTGCCTTCGGTCATGAACAGGTGTGGCGCAAGTGCCTGCAAAGAAGCATCCTTAAGATTCGTGATCCCGTCCGTCGTGGATGTACACGTCTGTTGTTGGGTGCAGGCTGCTGGACCCCTGCGAGGAAGCACGATGCCAAGTTTCGCGAGTCTGCAAGATGCGAGTTCTTCCCATACAAGAACGTCACGCTAGGTCGCCAATTGTTTGATTGTTTTGTGACGCAGACTCCAGAGGACCTCAGCATAGAGGCCCTTCCTGATGACCTCGGACAAAGGCAGGTGCTAAGGGACGATGAGTTAAGAATCTCACTGCTGACAGGGACACGCTTGAGCTCGCTTGTGGGCTCCCGTTTTGCCCGTTTAACCCTCGCCCGCGTCCCGAGTGCCTTGTGCTGCGATGGGGTGCAAGGGGTCTGGGGAAAACAGGTCTACACCGACGGTCTCAGCTAGCCAGTGCTAGCCCAGAACTCGGGAGGTATGCATAGGCAGTCGTGGAGTTGGGCCCCCCCAGCTTCCGCTAGGCGCCTGCCCGCCGCGAGCCCGAAGATGTGCTCTATCGTTCTCAGCAGGAGATACAGTGGAGACCCCTGCCAAGAATCACCCTGCTTGCATCCAGGGTGCGCTGGGTTTCTCGGGTTTCGATAGTCTTACGATGGAGAGCGTGACGTTCCCACGCCAAAAATCGATGGGCGTCCCAGGGTCTCAGGGTTGGGTTTCTTGTGGGAGGCTTCTTTTGAACTGGCCTCCACTGTAACCGAATACCCGGGCTGGTGCTTGCCAGCCGCACCCTTTGCTGAAGCCTGTCGGCCAAGATGATGAATGCCCGAAGCTGTCGCTCCGGAGCACGATGTACGCGTTTCCCCTAAGTACCGTGAAGTTGTGGAGGTGCCGCCGCTGTAACAGATCTGCCACCTCACAGTTAACCCTACAGGGTTATTCGCAGTGGTGCGAGTATGCATTGCAGACCAACGGACATACAAAGGCGGCGTGCTGAACTTCTCTTTGCTGATTCACGATGCTGCGCAATCTGACTCCCCTCAAGCCGCGACGGTGGTCAAGGCTTTTACAGGCGAGGCCTTGGGACCGCCAGTGCTTCCTCCTTCCCCCGGTGCGATCAGTAGGACGGCTTCTGTGGGATCGAGGTTATCCTTGGGCTGTTTTGCGCCAGTTGCCTTTGGAGGCGTCCTGGAGGTGTTTTGTTTTCTGGGCCAAAGGCCCGGGATGCATGGCAGAGTCGTGATCTGCCAAGAGTGTGCTTGTTTCTGAGATTGCCCGATGGACGCTGCCGCGGTTTGAAGGCGACCTGCAAGGGTGTGGCTCGAAATCTTTCCACGAGATCGGCTCACTTACGCAGGACAAGAATCGCTGCAAGAGGCAAGCATCCCAGGGTCCCCGCTTCCCCCCATCAGCCTTTCTTGCGCCGCGTGTTTCTCCTTCTGCTGGCCCTGCGCCAAGCGTTGCAGCACCGGGCGGCTGCGTCGCTGCACCCACGGGCGGCGCCCCATGCTGAGCCCCCACCCGTTGCCGCCCTGGGCCCCACGGATCCTTCCCGCTGCCTCCCTGCTCCTCCTCCTTCTGCTCCTCCTGCTCTCCCCCAATTCCTCCTTTTGCTGCTCCTCCTCCTCCTCCTCCTCCTCCTCCTCCTCCTCCTCCTCCTCCTCCTCCTCCTCCTCCTCGTCCGCCAAAGCGCACGATAGCTCAGGGGCGGAGGGACTCGGGGCGCGTTGGCCACGCTTCAGGGTCGACGCCCTGCCTCCCGTCGTGCAGCCTTGCTGCTTCGACCATTCGCGGGCCACACCGCCAGATCCAAGTCGTTCCTCGTGGGTGCCGCCCCCCTCCTCTTCCCTATCTGTTCCGTCTCCCCCTGTTGTGAGCTTGTGGTTCCTGCTCCTGCTGCTGCTGCTGCTGCTGCTCGTCCTCCATCATCCTGCTACTCTTCCTGCCCATCCTTTTGTTCATCCGCCACCTCCACCTTGCCTGATGTATAAAACCTTCCTTCGGATGGCGCACCGACGACGCCCCAGCAGGCGGACAACACCGAATTCAGCGCGACGGGAAGGGATGGGTGGGAGGGCCAGGACGTCTGATATGGCGCCAGCGCGCCTTCTTCGAAACCCCCTTCCACACCCACACTTTTCCCCTCCCCCCCCCTCTGCCCCGCTCCTGCTTCCCACTCCTCCAGCTCGTCCTCCTCCTCCTCCTCCTCCTCCTCCTCCTCCTCCTCCTCCTCCTCCTCCTCCTCCTCCTCCTCAGCTGCCCTTTTCGATCGAGCGATTTCTGACAGCGGATCCCCCACACTCTCCAGCTGACCCCTCCCACTTGCCTCATGCAGGTAAGATGGCAGGGCCAGCAGAAGGGGGCGGCGGCGGTTGGCAACTCATTCGGATGATCACATACAATCTTTTCACCGCAGCGCCGCCAGGCCGCCTGAACGACATCAGGGACGAGCACGTCCAGACGGACACCATCACGTTGCAGGGCACAGGCCTGAAGGACCGTGGTGCACCATCGAGAAGTTCGACGCTGCACCATCGTTCGTTTCATGCAGGGCATGGCAAAGGTGCAAACTCGTCTTGTGGCGTAGCCATAAGCGTGAGAATCGCAAGGTACCAGCCGCAGTACATAGTTCGAGTGCAAGCAGCAAGAGGTACTACGAGGGCGAGGATTGTTGAGACGATATCGACGAGGCCGACAAGACATTGCAGCGTTTTTCTCTACTACTCCACGCGGGGGAAAGGCAGAGGTGCACCCGCCACACAACGACAGTTCTCACATGAATTAGCGGAACGGTTTCACATTCAATTATGTAAGCTGTCCTTGCGCTGCATCCCCGTCATAGGCACGGACCTGAACTCCACGTGCGCGGCGGATCCGACAGATCGACCAGTCGCAGGGACAGCTGAACAAGGCAAAGACAGCATGAATTATGGAATCCTTAAGCTTGCTCAAGGCTCACGACCTCATACTGCTGAACACGTTTTTTTTCAAGCTGGAACTACTTACTTTGGAATCGCTCAAGATTGCAGGAAACGCATTGACTACATCACCTTATCGAGAGCAACGCTCGACAACGTTTAAGAGTGTATGGTTTCCTTGCGCAAAGGACAAAGGCTTCAACACATCCGATTTGCATCGTCGCAATTTCAGTTTCCGGTGCAGGTCGCCTTCTACCACACATTCATCAAGCAGCAGGGCACGGGGCGAGGTTCGAAGCCGAACGATGAGGCCTGCAACGCCATGCTACTCCACGGGTACAAACGAGAACTGTTCACCAATGCAGTCGCAGACAAACTTTCACAGCATCGGAATTAGTTTGAACAATGAGAGTATGACGGCAACGTTGACCAGATCAATGAAGGACTGATGGGGGCGCACTAGTGACGCGGCCAAGTCTCTCCTCCAGACGTCGCCAGGCGACGCCGAGACGAAAGAGCAGAACTTCTCATTGAGTATGGAAGTAGCTGAGCTCTTGACACTACGACGCCAGGCAAAGGAACGAGAGACCAATGTGGACAAATTCACCCTCGACATCGCTCGTCCCAGCAGGAGACCCAAGCAAACATAAAAAATAAAAATGCAGTACCACCTC